TTTTCTTATTGCTTTCGTGTCCAGAATCCATGGCCGTATCGGTTGCCCGATACTGCGGCACACTCTGTATATGTATATTAAACAGCAAATAATTTCACCAAGTTTAGCAAAGAGAAACGTCATCTTCTATCAAGATAATGCATACCCCTATACAGGTGTCATATCTTAAAATACAATTTATTACCTCAGCAACGTTATTTGCCAGATTTATATACTTATCGCTGATTCCCATCTATTCTGAGAATTGAAAAAATTCCTCCGGGAAGAAATTCTCGTCAAGAGAGATTATTATTATTTACTATTAGTATTATTTACTATTAGAGATATGTTATATACTATTAATTAGAATTTTACGATGACGGTAATATTAGAAAATAAAAAAATAGTTTACAAATAATATTACCATTTGGAACCTTTCTGACTCTGGTATTAAATATTTGTATATAAAAATGTTCCACCATGTATAATGCGTCATTTGCTTTTATTCAAAATAACAGGGCAGTACGTTTACTTTTTGGTTGTAATAATACTGGAATTAATAATAACGTGAACTCCCATTTGGTAATTACGAGTTTCTGCCAAGTTGCGCCATAACTATACCGGGATTAGGTACTTTTGCCCTCCACCGAGAAATATTTTAATCCAGAGATTTGAATAATGAGTCGTAAGGCTAATTTGAAACTAAATTTTTATATCAATCGTTGTACAGCAACGTAAAACGTTACTCGATGGGAAACTTTATTTGCTTTGTTTTAATAAATATCGTAGGAAATAAACACGCGTATCCTAAAATGAAAGTGACTCGTCGGATGAAAGTACAACTAGTCGTTGCGTTTTCTACTTAGAAAATTATCTATATCTATCTTTATCGTAACTTATCTATTATATTTCTCTTTCGATTGATGACACAGTATGTCCCTACGTTACTTTATCTTGTAATTGCTCCACCAATAAAATTCCATATCCAGTGGGCTAAAAATAAACTATACCCTTTCAATCTTTCACGGTCGCGTCTTTATTTAGCGATAAAGGTTTACGATATGCAGATTTAATACCTAGTTTGTCAAATCGTAAAGGAGCCTTCGATATTAATTATAATATTAATTACACGTATCGACGTATGATGCAGGTTTCCATTGAAAATACGAACAAACAAGCTCTTTTGATAACTTACGTTTCAACAAGTCTATAATCGATATCGTGCCATTTTACTCATATCCATTCGAAGCTCTAAAATATTTTATTCGACGCATCAATTTCAGTAACAAAAAAGCAGCAAATAAAAAGCGAATAAATGAACTTAAAAAAAAAGTGTAGAAAATAGTCCAATATAGCAGCCAAGTTATAGTACATCCCACGAGAATCATTGAGATGGTTTTTTTTTTTATTGGAGATCCACGTATATACATGTGTATCTCATCAAATCTGTACAATATTTAGCGTATTGACAGGTTGATATATTGGCAGGAGCAGATAACAAGACTGCAACGTAGGAGCTGGTTTCACGTATATTTTACGTTGCTAGAGAATCGAGGTTGTTCATAGTGTTAGTGGAAACAATGGACTTAAAGCTTACTCTGGATCTTTGTGTTGCATCGCCATATTGTCTGACTGCCTTATCTTGCAGACGTCGCCGAATTTCAAGCACAACAATTTATCGGCTTATTATCTCTTTTACTTCACGCTTCATTTTTTGCTTATAACGTGTATTGAAAGCTTTTATCGATTTGCGATAATTATAATTATTAAAAGTTTTCTCTTTTCTCCGTGTTTTTATTTTTATTTGTTTGTTTGTTTTTTTTTTTTTTTTTGTGGAAGAACTTTCACATTGTTATCAAGTTTCACAGTTATTGACCAGAATTGACTGGAAGTGCAATGAATAGCTTGACTGAAAACATTTTTTCACGAAGTAATTTTTTTCAATTAAATTTCTGTACGGCTGCTGGGGGATCGAGAATAAAAGAACAAACATTGTTTCAAAGTATCTGTTATTTTACACACGGCATAAACGGGAGAAAACTTCAACTATACAAGTGCGCTTGCATCCAAGCAAATTGATTATTTACAATTTTAATTGACCCGACATAATACACACGAACAAACTACGCTGTTTACCGACTTGTTAATTAATCAATTTGAAAAAAACTGGTGTACAGGAATCGACACAAACTATTTCAGTTTACAGTCAAGTTCGATCAATGGGGAAATTGCCTACAAGTTAACCAGTTCCAAGTCGTGGCGAGCTGTTTGCAAACCGGCAACACTTGCACGGCCAATAATAGCGACTAGAAGTTGCCATTAAACTATCCGAACGATGGCAGAAATTCGCTAACCGTTCGACTTCAACAAAGTTCGCGGTCAATTTACTTATTATCAAATTAGAAGATAATGTATCATACACCATCAACGGTGAAAGGAGCTCTTAGATCGTAAAATCTTCGCTAGTGTTGATTGGCAAATTGATAAACGACGAGTTACATGGAAACGTTCACGAGCACGGACATTTTCAAATGAAAAGATTACCGTGCAACGTTAATCACTTTAAAGATTGACGTCAACATTCACCTTGACGCGATACCACCTTCTAATGATATACAGTTATACACGATTACAATGTTGGCTGTAGCTACTTTCTTGTGGCTCTTTTCAATAGATAGCTATCAGGGCTGATTACTTGTTATTATTTTTTATTTATTACAAATCATACGACGATTAATAATATTCACATCGTACTGAATGATCGTTGCTCGGATTTTCTAGCGCGAGTTAACCACGAACGTCCTTATTATATAATAGGTGGTAATTGGATTACGAGGTTAATTGATCTCTGCTTTCTCTAAACTGAATATCACACGCGCAAATTACAGTGAACGATGATTGAACATTACGAGAAAATGGTAATAAGAAACGCCAGAAGAAAAACCAATAGAGAAAGGAAAAAGTTTCCATTCTTAAAATAGGGGATTTATGGTTTACGCTTTAAAACGTAAATACAGAATTGCTTTGACTTTGATCAATGTCAAAGATTCTAATTTTATCTTGATAAATTCTAAAATATCTTACTGTAGAAATGATTATCGATACTCGCATATTTTCTACGTATAACAAATTAAGACACTATAAGTCATGAATGAAAGATGAATACGATAAATATCGTAGAAGCTATTTCGACGAGTTTATTATCATAAACTACTAGATATTCACTGAAGAGGCTGGAGAAAATAGTCAATAAAATATGTATACGTGAGATTCAAGGAAGCCGGTAACCATAAACGTAACAAATTTATTCAGCACACGTGATAACTTGACGGATGATGAAAATTATGTTTCCCAACCAGGCAGTAGATTTTTCCCTAATTGCTTAATATGTTTACGACAAAGCATTCAGATATACTTCGATTCTTCTTAAATACGTCAGAGGTTGATCAAATATTCGATAAAAGAGAATTACCATCGTATTTTACATAGGAATGCGTAATCGCCGTAGGCACATAAGAGTTTCCGAACCTCGATGGAATCGTTATTAATACGGTTAATATTATACCGCAAGTAAAATTCGATGGTCGATGGCACCAAGTACATAGGATTCGACGAAAAGGGAAAGAACAGGCTCCAAGCAACGTTTCGTTCCGTGTGAATCACTTGAGCATAATTTACGTCACGTTACGGTCAATAATACATTCCTGATGTTTGCAGATATCTTAAATTACATCTACAGTATTATTGTGGCATTATAGCGAAATGTACGTCATTAAACGCTCAAATAGACACGTTATCTTCGGTAAGGAAAGGCTTTTAAATCTTATTATATAAAGGGTTGCCTTCTGTGAGTATGTCAGTCATTTCGGCTTGGGGCAAAAGGAAGGACCAACAGTTTTTTTTCCAAAATTTCTCCAACGAATAAACGTAAGACCACGTCTCGTAAAATAAGAGTTGAACAATTTATAAACTGCTCGTTAAAGTTCTCGTATCTCGCTTAAAATAATCAGGAGACGATTCATTTGGTCGAATTTTTCTTTTTTCTTGAACAAACATGTTCGATGCTTTCGTTGTAAAGATATCGCTGCTTTGCTTTGACAGTGACACAACTCAGGAAAGTTCATATTTGCTTTCAGTGAAAAGGACAATTCTACCTTATGTTTCTACTTTTATCATGTAAAACGATGTATCTATAATTCCATTAGTTCCGCGTCAGGGGGAAAAATGATCACTTAAGCCGCCATCAATCTGGCTTTAGTTTTGCTCCAAGGCCAGTAGGTAACAACACTGGCACATCTTCAGTTGTTTTGTGACGCTACAAGTGGAAGGTATCGTTTTCGCGAATAGTGATGTATCTCATGTTAAGTTAGCCTTATAATGTCGTTGAAATGACTGGCGAAGATTTCTTGCTAAATTTTTAAACGCATTCGCTCTAGACTTTATATTTTTCGAGCTGCGTTACCGTTAAATCAAAGCAGCCATATACAAGCATAAATTAGACACTTTAGATATCAGGGCAATTATTTGCAATTATTTCAATTCCTTTATTAGTAGAATATATCAGCACCACTACGATAGTGGATAATTGTTGAATATCGAATATGAATATTTTAGTAACAATGAATAATTTTCTCAATTAAAAATTCAAACGTCTGAAGAATTCTCATCATTACGTGAAGTAGGTCGCATGTCTAAGAAGGCTCGTTAGCGAATCGAAGGACTGTCACGAAAATAAGATTCGAAAGTTTTTAATTATTGTCCAGATATCGGAAAACACCTGTCGATGTACCTGAATTAAGCTGACTTTGTGTCTTCACGACGGCCTTGTAAATATCGAGGCGTTGTACAAAGCAGCTCGATAAAAAGCAAGCCGCGGTTACTTTTTACTGACGAGATAAAATAAGGGTCGGTCGCTCGAGACAATCGACCCTGATCGTCATTCGATCGGAGAATGAATATTAACATGACACACACGAACGTACGGACACGCTTAACAACTCCCTTGTTCCTCTCTGTTGCAGATTGACAAGATGCCACTGTCAGAGTTCCGTAAAACGAAATTACTCTACGTTTTCAACACCTTTTTCGGTGAGTACACTGCGTTTTATCTTGATAGCCTTCGTACTTTGTGTCGATTGTATAAAATCTTAATTTTCCACGGTGTCAATTTGAAAGATCCTCGTCGATTATCCTCGTAGTTAAGTTTTATTCTGTTTTATGCTTATCGCTGTATTATCTTCGCCTATCGTTGAGCCGTCTCATTGATATCGAGCAATCTGTTTACAAAAGAAGCTCTTAGCTCTTAGTCTTTGCGTTAGAATGACAAATTTTAATTAATTTGTTGCGTCCCGTACTGTGCGTATAGTCTGACGTAAAACCTGGTCGACAATCTAGCAAGATGTTTGCTGTCAAAATTTCAAATCAATTTATTTCAAAGCCACGTTTAAAATTCATTTTCATTTACATTCGCTCCGAGGTGATCGCCGTCTAGTACAAAGAACAAATCAATACGTTCCACGTTTCTTCCAAAGCAAATTTATCAGATAACAGCTTTAATTGGATTTTTCCCCAACTAGAAACACTAAAAAAAAAAAAAAGAGAGAGAGCAAAGATCGGGGAAAATCCGTTTAAACGAATTCATTCCACGCATTCCACGTTCAAAGTTCTCCCCGATATCAAACATGATCGTTAAGCTTCCGAGTAATCCGATTTCATGCCGATCATCACGCATCCCTAACGGTACCTAATTGTGCCAAGAAAATTTCATGGCCACCTTATCAGAACCAACGTTCACGACCATCAACCACAAGACCGGTATAGTTAAGCTTTCATCGCGAATCGGTTACGATTTTTCCCCAAGAAGCGTCGTCAGTTGCCTGGTAACGAAATAACAAAACCGATTGTCGTTCCCTGGATCTTAACGCGTTTCTCGTAGCTCTTCCACGAATCGAGTCGGGTCAGCTAACAATCTTCTTCCATTGGTGGCCCCTTTCGGGGCTATCGCGGAGAGCAGCGCGAACATTCACGCTGCTTCCAGCGAAATGAAATACGGTCCGGAAAGGTTGGAGGAGGAAGAGTAGACGACATCCTCTCGAGGGTATTTTTGGGGGCTGAAAACGGAATCAAGGCTATACAGGGCCGTTTTGTTCGGTCTCTCTATGGCACCTATGTGTTGGAGTGGTTGAGCAAAAGTGAGTCAGGCTGGACACCTATTTATGGTATGAACAGGAGCAGATAAACAATGGACGCGGTTAAGGGGGATGTCTTGTCGCGTTGAAATTACACGTTCACCGTATACGCCTATCGTACCGCAGCAATGTTTCTATGTTCGTCGTATGTGTAACTCGCGGGCAATCATTCATACGACTTATTCGCAGTTCTGTGTATTTTCGAGAAAGGCCATTCACGTAGACGCATTCAAGCGCCAAAATTTCTGACAGAGTATCTTCCAGCGTTAAAGTTTCGAAAGTACCTTTGCATGTGTATATAACACATAGATACTTCTCACGGATGATGACAGTGTGGCGGATGGGAATAATAGACTGACGTAAATTTCACGCGTAATTAGAGAACGAAACTTGCGAATAGAATCGGTAAGTGTGGTTACGTGCGCATCGGGAACTGCGTTAGCACGATCAGTCGCGCTATGCGACGATGAGGCTGCCTGTGTGGAGCGTGTGGAGGTCACAGGCGTGTACACGCTTCGTGGCCCTCATTAGCCCCTTACTTTCTTCCCTTCTTTGACCGTCGATCGACTGCTAAACATATCCTGCGGGGCTGTTCTTCGTTGTCGATACGGTATTTCACCGTGACCCAGAGAAGCCATGAACGGTGCGATGAATTGCGAATCTTCGTTTGAAAACTAGTGGTTTATACGTATGCAGCCAAATCACCCGATTTTGCCATGATTGATTTGATCTGATCGTGACAATAAATATATTAATTCGACAGGCTGCTTTGCGATAATAAATCTTTACGTAATTTACGATTCCCCTGTGTTTCGTGAAATAATTCTCTCTGGACTTTTCTAATTATCGAGATAAAAATTTAGATATATTCTTCCTTGAGAGAACTGTTGTTTCGTGTGTGATTCGGTAGAATTGTCTTTTCCTAAGGTTCGTACAATCGCTGTAGATTATAGTACATATTGCAAATTCTACGTTATTCGGGAAATTGTTTAAATACAGAGCAGCGAAATAATAACGAAAGGTTGACGAGAATTATTGCACGATATTCCGATACTAGGTCAAAACGTAGCGTAGAAGCTATATTAGACAGATACACGTGCCTCCTAATCAATTTAACATCAGATAAAAGATCCCCATAGTTTAGCGTAGTACGGAACCACCAGATATCTAGCGTGTTCCCAATCGTTTGTTCTGCTAAATTATTTCATCGTGACCTCGGTAAAAATTGACTGCCGTCGGGTTTCGCAATTGTATATTTTACATCGTCGAATCGTAATCACTATTTGATAAGACGAGGCAAAACCACACGGAAGAGAATATAAACAAAGAGCAGGAAAAATAGAAGAAAGCGAGAAGAAGAAGAAGAAAAATGGAGACGGAAGGGAACAGTAGGCGAAATAAGTAGAAAAGCATCGGAAGAGAGAGGGTTCACTCGGCAAAATTGGAATTAATAAACGGCATGAATCCCGGAGGAATCTAAGGATAGTAGGTGACACCTGAAAAGGGGCAGAAAAGTCGACTTGCGAAATTGGGTCGACTTTGCGAAAACTAATGACGTCCGATTCAAACGTCGCGAGAACGACAACGACCTTGCTCTGAGCGATGAATGGCACGATCGACGAGAGACCTTTCCACCGGTCTAACGTCAGATCTTGCACACAGCTCTTGCTGGATACAGGCCAAAATACCATCCCTCTGGCTACCCTTATCTTATTCATACCCATATTTCATTACATCGATTCCTTGTCACGTGTTCTGCCTACGTGATCGAGCCCCTTTTCCCCTGTGAAAAGTTTTCAACGAGGCACGGGAAGGTTTTGTTTCGATCATCGACGCGTGCGAAACGATAAGCTGACGAGGCTAACGCTACCCCAAATGGCCAGTGTCAACTTAATGCGGCAATGCCTTTGACACTATCCTGACATAAACGTTGAACGTTCCACTACCCTTTTTTTCCCTTGGTCTCGTGCCAGATACCAACTATGTACTTCTTTCTCACCTTGTCCTTCCCTTCTGTCTGCCCAATTTCTGAGAAGATCCAGTCATGTCGTATATAGAGGATAGTAATGGCTCGCTCTGACTGTACCAGTCGAACGAACTACGAGCTACGTTGTAGTTGTTCGCGATAGCTTCGAGCTTTCATTGATCAAAGATTAATGGAGTGGACAGAGTCGGATCGGAAGGGAATTTTCGCTATTTTGTTATCTTACTTTCTACTGAAAATAACATTTATATCTATACTTTCTTTCTATGTTCCTAGATTTCAATCAAAGTGGTGCGATTGATAAGAAGGATCTAGATCTTGCTATACAAGTAAGCATTCGATATTTTATTATTTAGTCATTTTCAGCTTTGACCGTCGAAGAAACGATACAGTTAATTAAAGAGTAATGTTGAGATATAGTAACAAATATTCGACTCTTTCGTAGAGACAGCAGTTACATTTTTCAAACTTATTTCATATTTTAGAAAACGATATTTACACGATTCTTTTCACTTTGTTTTAGCGAATCAATGAAAACAGAGGTTGGTCTGCCGATAATCCCAAAGCTCAAAGTATAAGGGATACTTTGCTTAAAATGTGGGATAATTTGAGGCAAGGAGCTGATACAGATCAAGACGGTCAGGTAAACGAATTCCTATCGAATATAAAATTTACTGTAGTTGTCCTGGTCTTCTATCTCAATTATATTTTAAAGATTTAATTACACGCGTTTCGTTTGATCTCGTCGAGTGATGTAAAATTGTTGAAATTCCAGTGGAACTTTGCTGTACGGTATTCGAAAGAAACGACTCAAAGCTGCTTTTGTTAGAAGATCCGAGCAGAAACATCTGACTCATACTTTCTGTTTCTCCTGTTTATTTCAGGTTAGTCGAGATGAATGGTTTTCACTGTGGGAAGAATACGCAAAAAATCCATCGAACCCATCCGAATGGCAACAAGCATACATGTCTGTGACGTTCCAGTTGTTCGATGCATCTGGTAAGTTTATCATACTTTCAGTTCCCAGAATGATGAAAAAAAATTCGGATACACTTTTTCCAATATCTTCAGAAATTTCGTTAAATATTTATGAAAGAATTTCGCAACCATGCCATACTGAAACTTTCAAAATAATAAATGATGATCAATACAAAAATATTCGGAGCTTGTTTACCAAGTCCTGCGATATTGAATTTCAGAAATACCTTCGCTTCTTACATACGAGTATACTGATTTCATTTTATATATTTATTTACAAATGATAGAGCAAAAAACTATGATTATTTAACTAGAACTATTTCTTAATAAATTAATATATTACAACTAGAGCAACTCGTAACGACCAACGACAACGACAACCTTTTCCAACAAAACCTCCCTTTTTAACGATTTCCGTGCTCCCATCACACGCACGTTTTTACAGTCGTTCAGGACCAAATATGATCACGTTGGCCTATCCAGGTACCCCTTTTCCGAAAGGACCACGGGCATGTCGATGGGCCCGATGATCCATGGGGATTTCCCATCCCTTCAGCATTTTCCTCTTTTACTTGCATTGTACTCCGTACTTCCTACAAGTTGATCGAGTTTTACATGATTATTTCACGACACTACGTATTACGCTCTTTTTTATATTGATCTATCCACTTGAAAAAAAATCTGGCGCAAGTAAAGAACGTTCTAAGAAAGTTTTACGTAGCTATAAGGTATTTGTCGCTTAGAAATAAACGAATCTTGTAACGTTACTTTAATGCCACTTTCAATGAGCAAATTGACGACTAACCAAAAGAATGTGCCGTTTTCTGTTGGTCAGGTGACAAATCGATCGACGAGAACGAATTCTGTAACGTGTGCAGATACCACGGTGTCGCAGAGGCTGAGGCCAGGGAGGCTTTCAAAAAATTAGGAGTCGTAAGTGAAAATCACGCGACAGATTCGTACAAAGGATACGACGCTCAGGGGCGGAACATTAATTCCATTGAATCGTTTCTCTTTGTACAGGGAAAGGAAATTACCTGGGATAAATTCACCAACCTCTGGAAGCAATATTTCTCCTCGGACGAGCCGACCGCAGCCGGAAACTTTATTTTCGGAAAAACTTCCTTCTAACTCGCTTTGCCTCGCGGAAAACCGACCGACGTACATAAATATATACTATACTCCCTTGCGTCGCATTCTACTCTTCATTCAACTGATTTCTCACGGTCAATTTACTCGAGCCCCAGATTACGAGACAAGCCAAGCTCTTTTTGTTCGACAACGAATAATAAAATGCAAATATTTAATTTCTTAAAAACCATTCGTAGGATTACCATCATCTGCACAGATCGATTGTTCTTTCATTTCCTCCTTTCTTCTTTTGACGATTGTAAATAATCGTCTGCGCGATTCCAATTCACGAATCAAGATGCGTTTGACAAATAAATATCATTTCGTTGGCGCAACAGCGAAACTCCTCTTACCGCGCGCGATACGCTCACGGTAATTAAAATATAATCTCATTGTATGTTTGTATCTGTAGCGTATTTAAATGTAAGGAAAACGAACTATAATGATCGTGACCTGTGCAAGTCTCCTTCACGTCCAGTGGCAAGATCGTTGTGCTTTCGAAGCGGTGAAAAATCGAACGATCGATTTTCGTTCGACTCTGGCAAACAAAATATCTCCCTCCATTGTTAAACAGACGGTATTTTCAGAGTTTAAAAACGAAATTTGTTCAGAACAAAAGATACCCGCATATATATATATATATATAAAAATATAAAATAGTTCCAGCGTTTTCGTGTAACGTTGAAGAAGAGATCGACGTGGAACAGTGTTAAAAATAATTAAAAAGAAAAAAAAAATGAATATGTCTTCTTGTAATCATTGGCAGAAATAAACTAGAGACGGATTAATCAAACAAACGTTGGCTTAATTATCGTGTAAGGAATATCACTGAGATGAAGTATTATATTTTAAACGAGTTTCAATATTGCCCTAAATGTGTCTTGTATAGACATTATATACGCTGTTATACCGAGGAATAAAAGATACACACGTATATCAACAGAAATATACACTTATATATATATACATGTGTATGTGTATGTATATATGTGTATATATATTTGAATGACAGTTTTCAATAAATTATATTCAATAAATATAATTATGAGGTTTTTAAAATTTAATCGATGTTGGCTCGACGATGCAGAATCGAAGAATTAAACAATACCGGTACGTATTTGAGTTTTAAGCCATTTAGTCTTCTATTGCCCGATACTTTGACATTATGTTATTGTACAGTTTCCTCTGTATTATCTTCAATTCTTTAAATAACATTTCCAAAGTCGATGTTATTGAATAGACATTAAGGAGAAAAAATGTTCGACATATGCAACAAAATAATAGCTATAATATTAATAATAATTTAATGGGCACTAGGAGTTTAACGAATTTGAGTAAAATTTCAAATATTCGCGTTCGTATTTGTACACATGCTTTAACTACAAATTTAATATTTTCATATTTTCTATCTGAATTAACAGTTCGTCGGAACCTTTCATTTAAGCGAAATTGTGAAAATAAAGAAAAAACATGAACGTGTATATGAATACGATTGTGAGACGTTTAGTTACATCTTTGAAAACTTTCTTGTGCTTGAAAGTATTGAACAGCAACGTTGTTCCGCGACTTAATATAGTCTGTCATGTAACTCTGAATGTACAATAAAAGAAAGTTGAAAACGATAACACGGCAATTGATTTCCTCGATTTTCAATCAACACGAAATACATACAATGAATAACATATTATTAAACCTTATCGTTATTCGTGTTAGTTATTAATGCAAAGTAATTAATTTTTTTTCTTGGAATATTTAAAATATATACGTAAAATTTCTTATAAATGAAGCTATAATTGATCATTTTTCATGACAAAATAAACAGAATGCAAATCACATTTTTTTTTCAAAATTTCAAGAAGGAAAAAGGCAACAAATGGGACAAAAACGATAAACAATATAAAAGAACGAAGATACGTCGCATAATTTGCATCGAATGTGTTAATGACTCGTCTGACACTTTATCAACAAGTGCACAAGCACGCCTTAAAGCCGGTTCACTTGAAGATGAAGATTGCAATAAAAACCAAAGAAAAAAAGACAGAAATGTAGCAGATTTTGCCGCCAATAATCATCTTCTGTTTATTATGCCATTAGTTAAAACCAGATCCCGATACATGGCATTACAATAAACATTATTGTTATTGAAACGCTATTTGTTATAGACTATCGTACTAAGAATGAGTCGAGACGTTGCAAGAAGGTGCAAATTGCCTCGTAGGTGATTTACATTGTACGGGGGAGTGGTGTTACAGGAGCGACAGAACGAGTGTTCTATTCGTATGCGTATCGCTGCAAAATTTTCAAATACTCGTCATAAATTTCACCGTAGAAGGCATGACGGTGTTGTAAAATTCGCTTTGGCGCTTGCTTTCATTATCAGTCACTGCCCGTTGAAAATACGCGTGCAAATACACGCGTCGAAGTGTTGTGAACATATAGAGTCGGGCATAATCTGTTACAGGCAACCGCACTATACACGACGATAAATCGTGACCTATTGTTTAATAAAGCGATTGTTCTAACGAAAGAGAATAATCGACGAAAAAAGACAAAAGCCGTCGCTAAATTTTTTGTCACGAATTTTATTAGACAAACGATAATTATGACAGCCGATTATCGCCAACACGTGTGATACTGTTGTTCGACATATAGCTTATATGTAGATATTAATGGTGTTACTGACTGTCTGTGAAACGTGTCGATAACGATACCAGCAATGTTATGTAAAAACTAAATGCACATTAGCTCTTTAAATAAACATGTATATGGACTTTAATTCTATAATGAATTATTATTCCCATTACGTCTTGTTTGTATTTCGTTAGCATAATCTCCCTGGTGTAATATAATGTTGTGGTTGTGGTAGATCTTTGTGATGTAAGATACATCTTTCAGGCGTGAGAGAAAGATGGCTTTACATATATAAATTTGTTTAATACGTTAATACAAAGGGATTATAGTATTATTTGCCGTAATATACAGGTAAAATAGATATAAAGGTTAAGGTGCGTGTGTGTAGATGGTAGAACTTAGCAGAAGTATTATTTTTCTCGAATTAGATTTGAAAACGCTGACACACGATTAAATAATATAAACGAATGTCGTAATTTTTATATTACGAATAAAAATATGAAAATTCTAACTACAAATCTACCACAGCCATAGCATTCTAATTTAAGATCATGGTCTTAGATCATTAAATATCTTACAAACGTTACTTTATTTTCGTCCTTACCTTACTGAAGAAATTAATGAATGGATGGAAAATATAAAAATTTAAACTTTAGATCGATCATTTTTATATAATACGCATTCTACGAATGTCATCTCACTTTCTGCTTTAAACAGCAATAATATACTTGTTTCAACTCGTTCCAATAAAAAAAATAATGGTACATGACGCACGATTACCGCCAAACTGAAAAATACAGAATGATAAAACGATTAATCGATGTCATAAGACGTTTCGTTCGATTCTCAACCATGTTAACAGTTTACAAGCATTCGAAATGGTAACGCAGCACCATCTCACTACAATACAGTGTTCGAAGTTTCATAATCTCATTCGGTGGGAAGATTTGAAAACGAGATATGCAGGAAAATTCGGTAAGTCCTTCGTATTATATATTTTTACTTGTTCATCTTGGCTAATGATTAACATTTCACTTACGCTGTTAATACATTACCTAGCATTTTAAACATTACGTAATGTTCTATTTCTAACCTCAATGTTTCCCGTTTCGGGTCGAACCACTCACAATACAGATAGTATTTTAATTGCGAATCGGTTTCGCCCATATCTTATCGTTAACTGCCATCAGATAAACGATAAATTTTATGTACTATCTTCGCGGATGAGAGCTCAGTATCATTCAAACTGCAGGAAGACTCACTATGGTTGACCTAATCACTACATGCATTGCATATTACACTGAAGCCTTACAGCCTTACATGATCTTCTATTTACGCAATATTATCTTTCAATGCAAGCTGTAACTTTAACCAATGTTAGGGTGAATAGTATAGGTAAATGTAGTGAGTGAAAAGTGTATTGCATGATCCTAACGCGTTGATTGTTCGTTTGAAGTTACTGCCCTGTATTGTGATACAAGTCGAGGCATAATGTAAGTATTATGATTAAGTGTGTTTTCGTGAGACTTTTTATCAGTAACTTATTAATCATTCCAAGATGTCCATTGAGAATTTATATACTTGTAAATTTTCTAAGATGGATACATTCATATAGGTTTCTTAGTATTAACGAATGAGAAGATTATCAAAATTGTGTATGTGTAATCTAACTTTTAGAAATTTCATATTTTATAATCTAACGCATCTGTGTTCAAAGAAATGTATACTAAAAAGGGGGAAAAAGTAAGCTGCCTGAAATAAAATGTTCACAGTGTTACTATTTTTACTAATGTTAATAATCAATATTTTTGTAGTTTAATGTTAACTTTTAGTCATACATATACTAATATATAATTTTCAAATATAAGTTGTATACATTTTATATCAGAGAATATCTTTACATTTTTTTTTCCTTAGTTTTTCTCTGAATCAGAGAATATTGGATGTTATTGCATTAAATAGAATAACCTCTTTGCAGGTTGGATTACACTAATGAGTTAGAATTGCAAAAAGAAGCAGACGAAGTGGAACAACTTGCTATGACTTCCTTAGGAAGACTAATATTTGTAGATTTACATTGTAGACATTCAAACTCTTTATCTTCAGATAAACCATCTGTAGATGTTGTTGATTCCTTATCACTTGCTTTTGAAAACCTTTTTTATATGCCATTTGACATTATTGAAAATTATAGTAATACTCTCCATACACTGGATATTAGTCATAATAAGTTTAGTAGGTATGTATTATTTGACATATTTATGCGTGTAATACAATTGTACATGCATAAATTAATGTTCAAGTTTAAGTGATCAAAAGCCATACAATCAAATGAGATTTCTTTTCCTGTTACGCTTTTAGAAATTTACAATTTTTGGCAGAATTTGAAAATTTAACATCTTTAAACCTAGACCATAATAACATAGATGATCACACAGTTTTTCCACATATGCCAAAACTTCAGCTTCTGTGGTTAAATCATAATAATATAGAAGAATTGTACCCATTTGTTAAGAATCTCTATGAGAGTATACCCAACCTCAGATATTTGTGCCTTATGGGAAACAAGGCAGCACCAAGTTATTTAAATGGTGGTACCTTTTATGACTATCTTCAGTACAGGTATGAACATAAAAAAATTAGAAATATATCAACTGCTTTAATAATAACATAAATAATAATCACATACGTTGAATATATGCTGATTACATATACTTTACTGTTATAAATATTTTTATAAAAAAAAGGTTATACGTCATATCTTGGTTCCCTCATTTGGTACATCTGGATGATAGAGCTGTGACTCCAGAACAACGACAGGAGGCAAAAAGACTTTTCAAGCGACCACTGTTAGAGAATCTAACTGAAAATGCTCCTCTTCCAGAATGCATTAAACATCTACACAACAAAATTGCAAATATATTTTCAAAACCTACACTGCCTTATAAGTCGAAACCAAGAGGTACAAACTTTGTTGTTTAAGACAGTATTATCTTAGTAATATGGTCTTGCTTGAAAGCTGTTCATTTTTGTCACAGTAAAAAATATTTGTGGGATGGTAGATATACATTTTTTATATTACATAGGAACAAATACACAGAAGCAACCACATAGGGCAGTAACAAAACAAGTGTATTGTATAATTTAATACAGTATAGAAGAAATTGCGTACATATATTAATCTTTTTCGTACTTGGATCTAATTAATACGATTGGCTTCTTTACATAGAAAAAAATAACTTTACAATGCATACGAACTCAACAAGGATGTATTTAATTATACAATAATTGTTATTAATTAATAGAACTGAACTACTATTCAGGAACTACATACGTTTAATTTTGCAATAACTTTTTGTAAATGTTATGTTACGTACTTATATAACGCATATACTTGTATTTTTTCAGAAATATTTTATACCAATGTCTATAATAAATAAAAATAAAAGTCTTCATTATGAAACTATATACAGCCTGTTTTTAATCAATAGCTTTCTATTTATCCCAATCGTTTGTTTTTCAAAATAATTTTTAGAACATTTTAACAATTTAACTTGTTTATTATTTAATGTTTTTGTATAATTCATATTTTGTTTTCTTCATTTTTTAGCCCTTCTTGTTGAATCTTTATTCAATCAGATACGTTTAAATATATGAATATCATGAACTTAAACAATTCTGTTCCTTTTGTTATATACATCTTCCAATGATTACATTTGAAGGAATTAATGTTCTAAAATTTATTTATTAAAATATCCATGAGACGTTCCTGTTTCCATTCCATATACAAGTATTCGAAGATTATATATTAACCATAAAACGCCTCAAATTTCTGATACAGATTTACGGTACACCGTATTTCATAATATCACATAATATAATTAATGTTATGATTAAATATGTGAAAAAAATAATATCATCAAATATTCTATTTTTCAGACGACGCATTTTGATTAAAGTTTCAATTTCACGAAGCTTCTTCTATGACGGA